ATATACTCATCATGGTATTCCTTTTATGTGCAAGCAACATTATGCAATTGCAGAAAGTTGCACACAATGCATTCAGCATAAGCCATAATCCTGAGCAGTTTTTCAACCTTGTAAGTTTAAAATGTCTAGACTTCAACTCCCACTAACATAAGATAACCTTTATTGCCATTTTTTCCGTGGGCACAATGGCACACATTAAAAATGAAATTCTGTTGCCTGCTATCAAAATTGTAGAGTTACATAAGATACATATAGATATGCTACATACATACCATACTTACATATATACCTCTACCCATACATATGTTAATCACTGCCCATCTTGAATACATATCAGAAAGAGAAAGCTTGAGAGTTCATAAGGTTGATACTTTATGGAATAAAACTGGCGGAATCTGGATGTTCTGCTTCTACCACAAAGCCTCCTTCCAGAAGGTAATAAGGAAAACAGATCATGAGGAGAATGTGTGGGAATTCTGGGACTTGAAATTCACACACCAACAAGTTGCTAAGGCTGGGAAATATTGTTTTAGCACAATATACCACAAAATGTCTATGGGGATTCTCAGTCATCCAGGTTATGGTTATCTCAAAGGTGCTTTTTTTTTCAAGAGTAACTGGACTTTGTTTTTTCTTTGAAGACATTCCGCTTCTCATCCAACAAGTTTCTTGAAGAAACTTCTTGGATGAGAAGCGAAACATCTTCAAAGAAAAAAACAGAAAGTCCAGTTGCTTCTTGGGGGAAAAAAACACCTTTGGGATAATATACCACAAAGTTCACACAAAATAACTATGTTGACAAGTTCAAGAACCTTGTCTGCAGAAGCCAATTAAAATGTAGATTATTTTTTGTTAATATCTCCCCTAAATCATTGGGCACTTCATTAAGAATATGAGGTTTCAAAGAACACAAAAACAGAGTACACTGGTATTATTGGGAACACAAAAAGTCCCCTGGATATTGAAACAGATTGTGAGTATGTCAATAGAAGTGATTGAAATATGCACAACCCCATTCCTGTCTACCTACCTCAATCACTCTCACTTTGCACCCCTAAACACCCCTGACGTTATTCTTAAAAAATTCATATGCAGTATGGGGGAAGAAGAAGAAACCAAATGAAAAGCAAGGAGAAAGGGTTTTTTTTTTCCTAAAAAAATTTATTTCATACAATCTTGTTGATAGGAAGACAACACAATGATTTCCTTAATAGAGATTTTATACATCATGAAAAAAAAATTGCTCAGATGATGAGTACACTGGCACTTATCCCCACAATCCACACCAAAAGCTTTTCTTCTTGCATTGTAAGAAAAAATTGCTCCTTACAAAGACGAGGCCACATTCCCTTCCTTTCACAGGAACACCAGAAAGGCAACTGGCATGGGCTGGAATGAGAGTAGGGGGCGTAAAGGCAAGTTTGCCATGCCTTGTGTTCCCCCAGACTCACTCATTAGGAGGACCATTTCTTGGGGAGAAAGAACTCCTATATGCATAAGCTTATCTTTGTGAAAAAGCTTATCTTTGTGAAAAAAAAGTAAGAAGAGGCTGGATCCAGCCTAGGCTGTCTGCTGCCCTTAATTGCCACTGAGATCAGTCAGAAGGGGGTTTATTCAAAAAGATTGCACCCAATTGACTGCACAGACTCCATCTTCTGCACAATGTTTTTAAGATATCTGAATCTTGCCCTCTTGTGTTTGGATCATCCTCCTCCCCAAAAGGTGTGTAGTTGCAAAAAAGTAGCAGCAAAAAAAAAGAGGTCTTCTTCTGGATTTGAGGAAGCACAGGAATATCAGCCTCCAGCCTACATGCATCTATAAGCTTCTACAGGTGTGACCTTTTACAGATGTGTGAAGAGATGCGCCACCAAACCAATGCTCAGATACAGAACCAACATCTAATACATGTCCAAATTCCCGTTGTTGTATTCCCCCCCCCCCATCTCCTCACTCCAACGTCATAGGACACACATCTCGGATGTGACCAGTGATATACCATTCAGAATCATTCCATAAAATCTTATTAATGCTATGCCATCTTTTCTTTCCTTTCCTTAAAAGTTGGGTTTAAGCCCTTTGCGAATCATTTACATTTTGCTACAAATCTAAGAAAAGGCAAGTTCGACATTAGTTTCTGGAAGTTGCTTTTAAAAAAAGTCAGGTTTTTTTTAAAAAATACAGTATATTCCACATCATCTGCTTCTTCAAGGCAACTCATTTCAGGCTTTGCAGTTCCTGTTAAACAGGCCTAAAGGTGCATCCCCTGCCCCCCTTGAAAAATTCGGTCTCTTAGCTTTATAGCAAATTTGAGTGTAGAAGGGAGCCTCTTGCTGTCCATTTTTTTAAAAATGTTCCCCCCCCCCCCAAAAAATGCAGCATATGCCATGTTAGACCTTAACAATTCTTCCCCTAGACAACATACGATTGATCAGTAGTGATTCTGCAAATTAGTAACTAAAAAAGAGCCCGTAAGCACCTTTCCCAAATCTCCAGTAATGTGTCAGTTAAAGTTTCTTCTGGGTACAGCATAACGTAGGTACGTGCACACGTCTCATTCCATAGCTCCAAAGTCTGCTCTCATAGTCTCGCTCTTCTTTGAGACTGGGACATGAAATGGTTCAGAATTAGGCAGAAGATAAGGAGCCAAGGGACATCATCTGTTCGTATTGCCGTAATATCTGAGGTATGATGCTTTCGATGGTGACCTGCCCCCGCTGTGTGATCTCGTGGCACTTGTGACAAATTTCCTTTCAATGAAATGCTGTCTTTGGGACAAGGGCGTTCCCGTCCCTGGCCCATTTCCTGGCGAAGAGAGATTTTTCTTCTGGATATGTGAATGAAGGCTAACCTCAAGATTCCTCTTCAACTTATGAGACAGGAAATGACAAACACGGTTAGTTCACTTCTCTTCCAGTGACTGATCATGCTTCTTGCTGTTTTTCTTTAAAAAAAAACAAAAAACTCAAGGCCGATGATATCTGCAAGACAAGTATAAAGAATCATATAACATATATGTATGTATATATGTATCTATCTACCTATCTATCTTCCTATCTATCTAGCCATCATCTATCTGTCTATCTGTCTATCTGTCTATCTGTCTATCTATCTGTCTGTCTATCTATCTATCTATCTATCTATCTATCTATCTATCTATCTATCTA